TAGCCAAGCCCATCGACTTAGCATCGCCGCCGGCGTCACCGACCTTGACCGCCACCACCGTCGCGTCCGACCCGACGCGTCTTTCGCAACAAACGCCGTCACTGCTGCCTGCATCAACCTCTTTGCAAGCAAGCACAACGTCAGCTAATGCGGATGCTACAACGGCGCAGGCTGCATCAGCTTCCACATCCACTTCAGTACCGCGCAAAGCTCAACAATACGCAAACGCATTGGCGACTCCCAACCGGCTGTTGCCTCCCACACCACTAGGCAACACAGGCGACCGTGCTACTGTACTATCACCTTTAACAGCCACTTCCACGTTCTCCCAACCTGTGCATCTGCCTTCGCCGTACAAAGCACCAAGATTAGCACAGACAGGAGCATCCGAATCGTTTGCGACCGCATATCCGACACAAGAGACGCGTCAAAAGTACGCTTCACCTTCCAAGCCACTGTCATCCGCGTCGAGTGCTGCACCGTCTCACAAACGCTCCTACCACTCATCGGGATTCACTGATTTGTCCAACAAGAAGTTTCGTCCAACCGCTGTCGGGGTTTCGTCGCCGGCAACACCATCCAGCACTTTAGTAGCCGCATCACCTTCTCCATCGCCCTATGGCTCGACGATTATCTCCGGTCTTTCATCTGCTAGAGCGAATCCTACTGCTTCGTTGACACGCCACACAGCTTCGTCGCCTTCACTATCGCGTCCGCTCTCTGCAGCACCCACAATAGGCAGGGCTGCAAATGTGTCATCAGGCATCACCGTCACCAACATACCCAAACCCGGCAGCGCGCTCTCCAATCAAGCCGGCGTAGGTCCGCTTAACCTACTACCCGCGGTCTCTGGAACCGCGTTGTCAGCCTCAGTCAGGGATGAATATCTCTCCTTGCTCCAAAAGTCGGAGCTCATCGATCTGGTTAAGCAGCTCGAGAGGCAGCTCAACGATCTCGTAGCAGCTCCAACTGGCTCGTCTACCCTTTACCGTCAGGCTCACATCTATCCCAACCACATTCATACCCAGATCGATAGACTCAAAGCTCGTCAACGTATCGAAGCAACCCGCACCACTTCGCCCTCGGATCTGAGTCTCAAAGACGTCTATTCGCTGCTCAATGCGAGTGCCTCTACGTCAGGTCCAACCACCTACACACGTACGACTGGAGCACCACAACGTCCGCAAACTGCAACTCGACCCGCGGCAGCACTGTCTTCGGCGCCACGACGAGCTGTCACCTCAACATCAGCTACCGCACCATCTACAGGTGCAGCCCGAGGTACCGCTGCTGGCGGGTCTGCCGCCGCACACAAACAGATAGGCACCGCACAGAATGCATCTCTCACCAGTCTCATCAACTCGATCAATGCAATGGTTCGTCAGCAAGCTCAACCGGCGCGCGGACCGAACGGCGCACCCCTCCCGCCAGCACAGGACCTTTCTGCCACCCCGGCCGCTTTTGCAACACCCACAGCAGCCGCGAAAGCACGACCACCCAGTGGGTCCACACCAATTATCTCACCAGCAGCTCTGCGCAGCATTGTTGGGGACGGACCTATGCCCTCGAATGCCGCTCTGGCGGCTGCCATCGCTGCTCACTTTGGCGGCAGTCTTCCTGCCAATGCAACCACAGCAGCACGTCCCGCATCTTCGACATCCACGTCCGCCCAAACAACTGCAGCAACAGGTAGTACAACAGCGCGTGTCGCCTCCAATGCTACCAAGACGGCCAGCAATCGCAGCCAACCTGCCGCAGCCGATCGCGCACCTGCTGCGCCTGCTCCAACATCGAACCCAGGCAAGGACATCTCGGACAAGATTGCTGCCATCTTGGGCTCAAATTCGACTTCCCAGTCCACCATGCTTGGCCCACAGGGCTTGCCACTAGCCCCCGCTGCTCCTGCTCCTGGTGATTCTGGTCCATTGCCGATCGGAAACATTGCAGCAATGCTATCCAGTCTGGCCAGCCAAGCTCCTTCCAGCCCCGCAGCTGGCTCTTCTAGCGCTGGTGCCAAGACCGGCTTGGCAGATGCTGAAGGTCGAGGAGATGCACTTTCGAGTCTGCTCCAACACTTTGAGGAAGCCCAGAGGAGATTACCAACTCCGACGGCAGCATCACCCGTCCCATCAGCGATACCGGCAGCCGCCAGCACAACCGCAGTCAATGATCCCGTCGCGATTCTCACGGGAGCCAGCGCCAATCCTGTTTTTACACCCGCATACCCAGCTGGTGCAAGCGCTTCCAATGCACCTGGCATGTCTGGCGGACGTGAAGATTCATGGTCGCCTGATCCCGAGCCTGTCATTGTTCAGGGTCCATTGGGCACCAGCACGCTCCCATCGTACGAGGACATGATCGTCGAAGGCCTACGTGTTATGGGTGAGGCTCCGCCACGCTCGCTCTTTAACTGGATGCAGGTCACCTACCCGCTCACCAAAAAGTTCCGTCCATCTGCGCATCAAGCACTGCAAAAAGCGTTTAAACGCGGCAGATTGTTAAAGACCGGAAGCATGTATCGCATCAATTCATCCTGGTCGGATCCGGGCGAGTCAAGAAAGCCGACGCGAAGGCCGCAGGTGGGACGAGACCATCCCATGGTCACGTCTGGTCTCAATGGCGAAGTGCTTGCTGTTAGCCCTCTAAAAGACAGCCAGGCTTATCGCAATGTAGGTGACTCGGGCATTCGTGCCATGAGCAAGGGTATGCGGCCAGGTCCTCGGCCTTACGGACAACCAGGTGCAGCGCCTTTGGCCAACCCTGCTAGCAGCATCTTTCAGAATGGCTCAGCAGCATCCATCATTCTCGAGTATCAGAAGCGTACGGGCAAGAAGCTCGAGGCAGACTCGGTCAAACAGCTCTACCAGCTCCTTCGTGCAGGACCCACCGACGGATCAGCCGAAGAGATGCTGGCGCACCTTCTTACACAGACGGGATATCATGACGCTGCCGCCACAGCCACTGCTGCGGCAGCCGCCCAGACAGCTGCCGCTGCAATGTCGGCTTCCGTACCGTCCTATTCTCGACCGATCGCATCTTTGCCATCGATGCCAACGAGTGCCGCACCGCCAAATTCGGTAATGGCTCGAACAGGTGCTGCTGCTGCTGCTGCTGCTGCTTGCGGCCGCACGATGCCAACCACACCCGTGGCCAAGGGTCCTACATCGCTTCCTCTGCCCACGACAAGCGAGCCTACAATGATGCAACAGCTAGCAAGTATGCTCAACGATCTCAGCTCACCTATTAATCCCGCGCTCGCCAACTCGCTGCTCGGCCAACTTAGCAGCAATGCAGCCGCTGCAGCCGCTGCCAGGGCAACTGATATGTCGGGTATGAGCACTGGCCCACCCTTACCTGCTGCACCGGCGCGCATGATGCCACCTCCGCCAGCTGCACCTTCTTCGGCGTCATCACAGCTTGCTTCGGCGCTGTCCAGTCTTACGAGTCAGGTTGCTCAGCAAGATTTGGACTCGGCCGTATCCGAGACGCTCGCAGCTGCACTGCAGCAGATCGGAGCTACTCCCGCTGCTACCGACTCCGGTTCGGAGAGCGCGCGCAAGCAGCTGTCGACGGCCGAAGAGGTGGCTGCGTCCAAGACTTTGGAGGCCGCCAAGGAAAGTGCACAGGAAAGCACTGCAGCTGGCGAGTCAGTGAATGGCGTCGAAGAAGGCATAGATCTGGCCGAATATGAGGATGCTATCCGAGCGCTTACATCTGCGTTTGGTAACACAGGGGATGCTGACGACGAGGGTGTTTCGGAAGAATCCGATGTCGAGGCGGATGAGCGTGCGATTGCGGCTGCCGAGGCAGAGCCGGATTCGATCCAAGAGGGTGCATCGCCAGCTCAGTTTTGCACTCAGCAAGAGGATAACATTGACGCTGCTCATGTGATTCAGGCAAGCAATGCTGACAAGGACAAGCGGCAGGATGAGGCGGACGAAGGCGAAGAGGATGAAGAGGACGACGAGGAAGTTGAAGAGGAGATGGACCTCTCCGCTGTGCTCCGTCAACTTACTGCTTCGTTGCAAGCTCATCAGCAGGAAGGCGGTTTGGACGTTCAGGGTCAAGATAGCAGTTCAGCTCATGGCGAAGTAGTTCCAGCTCCCGCTCCCGATCAAAGTCAAGAAGAAGGCCACGAAGCTTCGACGGAGACAGGCGATGCCGGCGATGCGGAGTCGAACAAGCAGGTTTTTGACCGGGTCGAGCCCATGGATGTGGATCAGACCACAGAAGAGCTGCGTGACGAGCATGTGCAAAGCGCGAATGCGGATTTGGCTGAGCAGGATCAAGATGGCACAGGGGCCGAAAACGAAGCAGCGAACGCAGTCACGAACGAGGCAGAGGGTGACGGTGGATCTCACGATGCAGCGACGCTGCAGGCTCAATTGGAGGCGCTGGTGGCAAGTCTTGCTGCCAACGCAGGCAATGCCGTCGACGACGACGACGACGACGACGACGATCAAGAGGATGAAGAAGACGACGACGACATCGACGAGGAGGACAAGGAAGAGGGAGGCCACGAGGCGTAAGGTACTGGTGCAAGCTTCTTTTCGACTATGACTGCGGAGGTAGAAGAAAAATTGTGCGTCGCGACACATTCATGGTTCCGGGAACGGCAGCGTATTCCATGTAACTCGTAGATTGTCTCACACTGTAAATTATACAACGGGGAGCCACACTTTGTAGTTTTACCAAAACTCAAACCCAAAAAAAAAAAAAAAAAAAAAAAAAAAAAAAAAACCAGTACGAAGCGTAAAATGAGAGGAGACTCTGACGAGTCAAGATTAGCGAGAGCAAGAAATTCGTAATCTTGTCGCCATGTGGAGCATCTCTTGCCCATGTAGCAGAACTTCGGTCGTTCGGTCGGGTACAGTAAATTTCAGTGTGACAGCACGATGGACATGATTCAATATTTTGCTGGACATCTGGACTGCTATTTTGCAATCTTGGGTTTAGTCGATGATGACAGCGCAAAGAGAAAAAAGGAAGAAAAAATAGCTTGCTCCCTACCAGGATTGAACTAGTGACCTCACCATATCATTGTAATACGAGTGGCGCGCTCTCCCACTGAGCTAAGAGAGCAATTGCATCTGAAGCGATGATTGTTGTAATTATATTACTCACAAAACAGATTATGTTGGCAAAAGTAGAGAGTTGCGCGTATATACAATGTCAGTTTCTCTTTCTGCCTCTATTCTCTGCAGTGAGATGAAAGAGATTGTCTTGCTTGGAGCCTGCTTTTGCAGACGGCCGCAGTCTGAGAAAGAGCTCGGTTTGAAAGATTTTGCTGCACCTCACAGTGCGCACCTCGAAGCTCCAAGTGAAGGCGGGATTCTAGGTTCAAGATCTAGGGATTAACTCTGAAAGCGTGCTTGGAAAATGACAGCAATGGCACAGTACAGTATTGTAAAATAAAATATGGTACATTAGGCCCGCCAGAAAGGAATCAGAAGCCCTCGTGGATGCAGAGATCGCGAAAATTAGGATTTCGAAAGGAGGGTTCGACCAGATTGTGCTACAGCATCAGATTCGGAAAATATGTGGCTTTTTGGGATTTGGGGACGATGACGTCACGCTATCGATGGGAGGGGCCACTCTAGGAACGCCTTGAAAGGGTTCTTGAGACGAGGATTTTCTCGGACAGGCGAGACCCTCTTTTTCATCTGCAATGCAGTTGCGAAGGGCACCCGCTTGATGCTGGTGTTGCATTTATGCACACACAAGATGGCGGCAGCAGCAGCGGCAAGCATGTCAATTGTAAGGCGGACTGTATACACTCAACGATGGTGCACCGCAACAGCTTGTCTGCTTTGAGAAGAATCCTCTTGCCGCAGTTGGTCTACATAGCAGTACTACACTGTAAGATGACCAACTCCTATTTCATCTGTGATGCGAAAAGCTTGCTGCAACGGACAAGGCGTGCGTTGATGCGTGTTGCGTGTAAGTCGAGTTTGGTACAAACAAGACGGAGTGGAGGACTAACGGCACTGTGATGAGAGCAGGCAAGCCGTACACGCATGCACTCGAGACTCGGCCGCCGTAAGATGTGAAACAGTGTGGTGTGCACATGAGCATCCATCCGCTTTTAAGTCGGGTCAATTCACAACCATCGGTAAGAATACAACAAAAAACCCTTATTTATTTGACCGAAGAAACAACGAAATATTTGTATTCAAATTGCTCGTCGCAAAACTTCGAGTTTGGCAGCTGTCTCAAAGCACTAAAAGCCGGTGCGAATTGGTTTGAATTTGGGTCGTAAAAGTATGTACGACTTCGTCACTTTGAAATCGCAGTGTTTGACTTAGCAGGACAAGAGGGGGGCTATTTTATTTAATCATCAAAATTGATTTTCTTTTCTTTCCAAATCTTGTTTGTTGAACAATTTTGCAAGCAGTTAAGGAGTACGCTGTCATGGTGAATCGTCAAAGTACGCGTTAGCTTATGCGCTTCTTACATCACACACTCTGAGTTCTTCTTGAACTCTATCCAACACACACCGCTACTGTACTTTGCTCGTCACACTGATATGCATGCAAATGTACCATCGATGCTCGATGACCGCGTCGTTTCAATCTTGCTGCCTCCCACATCGTCCCAAGAAACAAGGCGCCAGAGCTGCATTCAATTCTGCTCTTCGTCCTCCCAAGTGTGAATGCAAGGATCGTCCGCTGACCCAGCGTCTTTTCATGTACAATAGAGCAGCAATCTCTCTCTCTCTCTCTCACACACACACACACACACACACACACAAGGGTGCGAACCCTTTCATTCGGCTGTTGCTGTTGAATCGATTTCCCTGGTTAGAATTTCACAAATTCTGCTGCAAGAGAGGCCCTTGCCCCATCGATGATGGTTTGGTGTGCGTCTGTCGGTATGCTTTGTTGAATCCCTCGGGCTGCTTCGGTGCTGCTGTCACCAGAACTTTTGGTTTTTTTTATTATAAATCTTTCATTCCAAGAGAGCCAAATCGTTTCAATTGCTATTCCGCAGTTTTGTATGCCCAAATGCAAGTAAAGACGACACAGAACATCCGCTCGCATGACCCTCGTTCCGTGAGCAGATGACCTTGTCCGATTGCTTGAATTGCGCTTGAGATCGTGAGGCTCATGCCCATTTGCCGCACACTGATTTCTGGCCTTCGCCGCCAATGCCAATACCCATGCCAAGCTCGAACCGAATCCATGTTTTGGCCCTCCTTCCAGCCTAGAGACAGCGCAAAGGCCATCATCTTTGCACAATCTCTGCCATCCTACCTCCTCTACTGCCCATTGTTTAGCGCGCAGCCTCATTTCGCATACCTCATTCCGCTTGCAATCCACTTGGTACATAAACCTCGTCAAGCCACGTTTGTGTGACAATCTTCTTGTCCCACCATCACATCGTTCACCTTTCCCCCTTTTTCTCTTTCAACACAACACTTTAACTACTTTGTTCATCATGTCTAAGGTCACTGCTAGCGGTATCGTCGCCGGAAACATTTCCACCCAGCGCATCAAGCTTAACAACGGCCAAGAGATTCCCCAGGTCGCCCTTGGTGTTTATAAGGCTCCCAACGATGGTTCCACCGAGAACGCCTGCAAGTGGGCTTTCGATGCTGGATACCGTCACATTGACTCTGGTAAGTCTTGTTCTCATTCGCACCAGTCGCTCAAAACGATTGCATACAGCTTCACAAACACAGTTTCATAACATGACCAGCTTACTAACCCGTGCAACGCTCTCTACGTGTGTACCTTTCGTCTCACAGCTGCTCGTTACATGAACGAGGAGGCCGTCGGTCGTGCCCTCGCCGAGTGGACCAAGGAGAACAACGTTCCCCGTTCCGAGATCTTCATCACCTCCAAACTTTGGGATGCTGACCACGACAAGGCCGCTGCTGCCATTGAGGATTCGCTCAAGAAGCTCAACGTCGAGTACATGGACATGTACCTAATGCACTCTCCCGGTACCATGGGTGCCGAGAAGCGTCTCGAGGCTTGGAAGGCTCTTGAGGAGGCCGTCGACGCTGGCAAGATCAAGACCATCGGTGTTTCCAACTTTGACGTTGAAGAGCTCGACCACTTGCTCGCTAACTGTCGCATCAAGCCCGCCGTCAACCAGATCGAGTCGCACCCCTTCTTCGCTCACGAGGAGCTGCGTGAGGCTTGCATCGAGCGTGGTATTCACATCCAGGCTTACTCGCCCATGGCTCAAGGTCAGGCTCTCGACCGTCCCGAAATCAAGGCTATCGCCACCAAGCACGGCAAGACACCCGCACAGTAAGTATCCAAATCATCAATGCCGATCACAACTCGCACCACTTAGGAAACTGACTCAGAGAGGTGCAATTTTTTTTATTTTATTTTTTTCTTTGAAACCCACTCTAGGATCCTTTTGAAATGGGGAATCAACCTGGGTAACATCATCCTACCAAAGAGTTTGACTAAACACCGCATCGAATCCAATGCTCAACTCTTCGATTTCAACCTTGACCAAGAAGACATGGACGTACTTGTAAGTTATCCTTTTTTTTCATCTTACAATCCTTTAGTTTCTTTGCATTGCTGGTACCATTTCTTACTCACAACCTTAACGTTCTGGTTTTTTTTTTTGGTCTGCTTGGTATCTGGTTCAAATCTCATCCGATTTCTTGTTTGTGGATTATGATTGCAATAGAGCTCTTTGGATGAAGGTATGAAGGTGGGAAAATTGGGTCCTGCTGGTACATCGCAACCTCCATCGCCTGGTGGAACTCGACCTGGTTCTCGCCGCTCTTCTGGCTCTGGTGGTTTGTCTGGCAACAAGCTCCAAATGTCCTCTTCTTAGAAAAGAGATAAAAAGTTCGTATCAATATATAATGTTCTTATATATTCAATTTCAATTTCGCTTTTTTTTTTTTTTTTTTTTTTTTTTTGGCACATATTCATCGCACAACTTATTTTTTTTTTGTCGTAATGTAATGAATGTCTTAATGGTTTAGTTGCAGTTTTAAGATGGTATTGTGCGATTCTGTTTCATTCCCTTGAGTTATCAAACTGCAAAAACATAGTCAGTCAAAAATGAATCCTTGGTCGCCTATTACTAGGACGATCTTTACTCGTCACATTCTCACACAATGCGCACCGTTTTTACTTTTGTCTTTTATGCTCTCCTCTTCTTTTGCTGCACCTAGTTTCCCCAATTTACACATCTTGCTGACCTTCCCCAGCTGAACAAGTGATGCCCGTAAACCATTTTTGTCCCAGTTGCGTATACTCGATGCAACCATATACATATGTACCACTTGGAAGAAAAAAAAAATCATGTACAATATACACGCTCACAATGCTACAAAGAGATCAGACGATCTTCACACACAAAAACTACTCAATGCAAGTGTTGAGCTACCATTTTTCCAAAGCAGAAACGAACAAGGTCAAAGTTCTCAAGTCGCAGAGACAGCTTGTGTATCAAGTACTTCTGCTTTCGAAGCCAAACTAGGCGTAGTCGAGGTGACCGTAGGCACCATCGCGGTAGCATCCGTTCCGCGATGGGTACTACCCCTTTTCTTTGCCCTCCTCGACTCGAATTCATGCCATTCGCCTTCCAGACCCGACAACAAACCTGCCGGAAATTCCGCCCTCGGTTCATCCACAAAGTACTTGCTACCCAGAGCTTCATTGGCCGACCACCTTTTCTTCGGGTCATACTTTAACAAGCCTGCTGCGACTTGAAGCGCCGAATCGGGCATGAAGCGCGAAAACGCCGATTTGACGTAGTCTTTCCTCTCCCCTTTGGCTAAGGAAGCCGATTTGGGGATAGCAGCAGGATTCAGAGTTTCCCACCATGATAGCCTTTCCACATCCGGCCAATCCTCCTTAGTCACTGGGCCCAATATGTCAGTAATCACTTCGACTTGGCCAATCTCGGTTTCGCTCTGAAACACAGGTTTTTTGACAAACAATTCCACAAAGATGCATCCTGCACCCCACATGTCGACTTCCGAACCATACTGCGTCGCTCCGAACAACAGCTCGAGCGGACGATACCAAAGCGTCACCACACGATTCGTATAATCTCCTTGTCTTCGCTTTGCGTAGTAGCGCGCAAGCCCAAAGTCGGCG